TAAAAAACAAAAGGCATCTTAGGATGTTGCAGTAATTGCAGCTGTCTATGGACCTCACAAGGAGTTAGTGTTTCGTTGTTGTATGATTTTTTCTGACAGATCAGGTATGTAGGGAGACAGGTCAGGTTTGAGCGGATATTTGTAGCTTGTCAGGTATAAATTCTTATGATAGGTCAGGTATAAATAAACTTATTTATTCAGTTCAGATTTAAAAAAAAACAACTTATTTTGACAGGTCAAATATAAACGGACATCTGCTGGCAGGTCAGGTACATGAAGAGACTACATCTGGCAGGAGGTGATGATAAAGTCAAAGCTTAATAACGGAGGGTTCATCCGACTTTTCAGGCGCAAAAAGCAGCATTCGGTGTCCAGTATGGACCCCGATCATGTCACTAGGGCTTTTGGAGCATGAAGTGGTGATAATTTAGCTTCATGCAATTTCTACGGAGAATTAGTCCAAGGTCTGAATTTTTAGCTAAAAGTAGGTCACTGAACGCTGACCAATGAGAACCTAAATGTACAATAACCTGAGACAATACGTAAAGGAGCCTGTTGTGCCAGCAAAGAGCCTGCATTTCAAGCCGTCCGTCACTCGATGTAAGATTTATAAACTTTATGTTTTCTGGGGCTTTTGGACCTCTGTGGAGCTCCTTTAATATTCACCAGCATATTGAACTCTTCTTAAAGCTCATTTATAAACCGTTCCTGCTTTCTGCATCTCTTACATCCGCCTACGGCTTAATTAAGAGAGAAAGAAGTGCGAGATATATCAACCAATTCAAACACTTTAAGAGTTATTTATAGCCTTGTCATCACAGAAAAATCAATTGTGGCTGCAGAAAAAAAGGTTTTTAATCCTCACATAGTGTCAAAGAGAAGCAAATGCGGACAGCTTGATTTATATTGTCAATTACTTCTCCTAAAGTACAAATTATTACAATGGAATGACGTTTTCACACAAGAATGGTATCACAGGAGTAGGGTATCATTTAAATAGGGTAAAATTCTCAGCTTTATATTCAATCTCTATACAAAGAAACAATTATTATATTTCAGAAAATACTGGTTTTGTTTTGTTCTTGGTTTTGAATTGTATAGGTGAAACAAGCAGTGCAGCAGATTGCAGTTCTTATTTATAAGCTATAAAATCGCAATTTAATTCGGAAAGACGATGAAATAGTTGACATAATAATAGCTTTTAAATCTTGCCTAGAATTGAATTTCACCACCATGCAATTTTTCTTCTGCTCGCGTAGGCGTATTCTATAGACGTGCTTAAGTTTCTTCTGTGTGTAACACTCTTTATTTCTTATTGCAAAAAAAATAATAATGTTACAATTTTTATTTCAAAAAAAATATTTAGTCTTATACAAAATGTGTTCACATGTTCGTTTTTTAAAAGGAAAAAGAAAATTTTGTAAATTGTGGTTCGCTTTAAGTTAATTATATACTTTATTTTTAATGTTTACGTACAAAGACAAATACTTCAACAATCTTTCAAGATCTGTGTTAAGTATGTATAAATTAAGAACAATACAGTCTCAAAAGGGTGTACTTTTGTATGTAAAAACAACAACAATAAATTAAAATATTTTCAACTTTAATAGGAAAACTTATTTAATTTTCCCCATGAAATATGGTTCTATATCAGTCAAATATATTTCTTTTTTTTTTAAATAAATATGAAATATAAATATGAAAGTAGGCGGAGTCAAAACTCATATTTATTTTAAGGGACTTCTTCCGCCATTTTGTTTGAAAAATCTGATAAATACAAAACAACTTTTTGTTGAATTTTGTTTTGAAAACTATCTAGAATGATAGAAAATGGTCTAACTAAGAAAATAAATTCGGACACCAATATCTTTAGTTCAGTTATTAACGCTGTACAGACGTTTAAAGAGTTGTTTACATGACGTCACAATGTAGCGCTAAATATCGCGTTCAAAACAAGACGCAATATTATATTACTGCGCGCTGTACAATTGCAGTTGCGTAGCAAGCAATGGGGCTTGTTACCATTTTTCTTCGATAATGAAATTAAATAAAAAGGGTATTTTTTCGTTTTTCGTGAAATATGGTATTTTATTTAATTTTACCCATGAAATATGGTGCTATATCAGTCAAATATATTTCATATTTTTTAAAAATAAATATGAAATATAAATATGAAAGTGGGCGGAGTCAAAACTCATATTTATTTTAAGGGACTTCTTTCGCCATTTTGTTTGAAAAATCTGATAAATACAAAACAACTTTTTCTTGAATATTGTTTTGAAAACTATCTAGCATGATAGAAAATGGTCTAACTAAGAAAATAAATCCGAACACCAATATCTTTAATTCAGTAATTAACGCTGTACAGACGTTTAAAGAGTTGTTTACATGACGTCACAATGTAGCGCCAAACAGCGCGCGCTTACGCATAAATTACTGCGCGCTGTACAATTGCAGTTGATAGCAAGCAAGGGGATTCGTTACCATTTTCTTTGATAATGAAATTAAATAAAAAGGCTCGTGAAAATATGTGGCATTTTATCATGTTTCGTGAAAATATATTCCATATTTCACGCAAACGAAAAATTATCCTCTTAATATTTTCACTCAACATGATAAAATACCACATATTTTCACTCGCCGTCCCGGCTCGTGAAACTATGTGGCATTTTATCATGTTTCGTGAAAATATATTCCATATTTCACTCAAACGAAAAATATCCTGTTAATATTATTGTCGTTTCGGAACTTCAATGATACAATGGAGACATTCGAAAACTGATTAATATTCAATTGTACTTTACTTTAACCAAACCATGTAAAGAACTAATTTTCAGACGCACTAAATTTATGAAATATAAAATTTATATGCAGTTGGACATTTTTGATTTGTTTATGATCTAACATCGAGACATCTGATAAGAACGGCATATAGCTTCAATTATTTGTTGTTTTACAATTAATTCATCTGTTGTTAGAGGGTGTGATCATTTAAAATGACGATTATATCAAAGTGAATACCTTATAACCTTATAATAAGGGGTTGACGTCCAAGGGGTTTATGTCAAGGTGTATACTTTTAAAGATAGCGTTTATGTCAACAATAAGGTCTTTATGTCAACCTCTACATATTTCATGTTGAGGTATATATCAGCATGTAAACATTATAAGATTGTGTTTATGTCAACGTGTAAACATTTCAAGATGGCGTTTATATCAGCGTGTTAACACTAAAAAATGGCGTGAATGTCAACGTATAATAGATTATACACTTTAAGATGACGTTTACTTCAACGTGTCTACATTTTAAGATGACGTTTACGTCAACGTGTTTACATTTTAAGACGGCGTTTACGTCAACGTGTCTACATTTTAAGATGACGTTTACGTCAACGTGTCTATATTTTATGGTGACGTTTACGTCATTATGTATAGATTTTAAGATGACGTGTACGTGTATACATTTTAAGATGACGTTTACATCAACGTGTATACATTTTAAGATGACGTTTACGTGTATACATTTAAAGATGATGTTTATGTCAACGTGTATACATTTTAAGATGACGTTTACGTGTATACATTTAAAGATGACGTTTATGTCAACGTGTATACATTTTAAGATGACGTTTACGTTAACGTGTCTACACTTTAAGATGACGTTTACATCAACGTGTCTACATTTTAAGATGACGTTAACGTCAACGTGTCTACATTACAAGATGACGTTAACGTCAACGTGTCTACATTTAAGATGATATTAACGTCAACGTAGCTACACTTTAACATGGCGTTTACGTCAACGTGTCTACATTTTAAGATGACATTAACGTCAACGTGCCTACACTTTAACATGGCGTTTACGTCAACGTGTCTACATTTTAAGATGACGTTAACGTCAACGTGTCTACACTTTAACATGGCGTTTACGTCAACGTGTGTACATTTTAAGACATAAACCATTAACTGAAATGACAATTAGTAGTGATACAATATGCTACACTCAATATGAAAAACGAATCGATACAAAATTGTCTCGTTCACTAGTAGTACTAAACATGACGAAATGCAAGGCCGTAAATAGATTGTTAGGGTACTTTCAAACAACTGCAAATATATTAATTTATGATAAAATTCTTAGAATGATGTAATTCTAATACATTTATATAACGAGTGAATAACAATTTTATTTACTTAATCAAAGCACTTTTGCCGAGATAATATTTATTTATTTCATACAGTGCAATAAATTCAGTAATGAACTTACACGAATTTAATATTCTATTTATCACATAACCAAAATAAAGTCCGTTTAAAGTGAAATAAGAGTCATTTTTCATTGACGCGCCTATAGTATAACGCTGACATTTAGCGCGTCTTTACACTATGTTTGTATAACGCTAATGACGTCACGTCAAAATATATGCACGGCCGTGCAATACCATATTTACGGAGTCGCAAAATCGGCACGGGTATGTGATAAAATTATTTACTGTATATATGTATTATATCATTTAATATAACAGAGGAAACAATATGTCAATTTACTTTAAATCTAAAACCGACTTTTACCAAAAAAGATGATACACATATTTAGTTAATCTTCATACAGGGAAAAATTCACAGAGGATATTCAAGTACAATGTATTTCTATAAATACAGGATTTATTTTCACCGAGTGGTATAAAATAAATATTTCATGAGGGACTACCACTTAAAATGTGTTAACTTGAATAATTTAAAAGAAAGTAGTCCGGCAAGACAACAGGGAAAATACGGAAAATATGTTTCACTGCAGTGACAAAATATTTTTTTAAAATACGGAAAATGAAAAAACGTATTTTAGTTCATCAGAATTTGTCAATATTTCATTTATACGTAAGTTCATAATACAAGTATGTATTTATACATTTATCCGATATACAACAAAAGTTATTTAAAACGATATACCGAAAAAAAACATGTAAAGCATAATGTGAGATGAAATATTATATAGATACCTTTACCCATCGGAAATTACAACGTGAAATATTCCAGACGGAGTGAGAAACATAATTCTTGACACGATAACATTCCTTATTACATTACCATATATTCCATATATATCCATATGTTATAGCCATATGTTTACAATCTATTATTCCATTAACTTATAACGATGGATATTCAATTAGAATAAGAAGTCCAATTAGAACTATTTTAGTTATTTAGTTCAATAGAAACCTGAAGCATATATCTCAAATTAATCCCACATTTTATATGATGATAGATATTGTTACATTGTTTCACTTTAGTGGCTGTCTCACCAGCTGGTATATAATTAATCTGGTTTACATTTCTGCTGTTGACAGCAACATGGTGTGTGTGACAATTTCATTCAATACTGAATAACATTACTATATCCGACTAGATTTTATTGTACATAAGTCGTTCAAATATTGGGTTAAGCACGTTCCGTTCACAGTTGTCGTATTTACTAATAGTATTTATGTTATAAAGTACATCAAATGTGTACAATGAGAATCATTCGTATTCTAACTATTGTAGATACAATATTTTATAAGTTCCGACAAATAACTAGAACAATAATATCTTGTATGTTTTATATCTAAAATACGGATGGTGACAATTGGTGATAAAGGTGTGTATAAAATCAAAACACATCACAATAATTATACCATAAAGATCTGAAATTGAAACATATTGGTGATCCTTCAGAAGCAATGAAAACTACATAAAATTATATAAATTTGCAGACTCGATGTGATTGAGCCGGTTCATGAGAAAAGAAATGAAATGTTCCTAAAGCCCATAGCACAATAAAACATCTCCAAGGTGTTTAAAAGTTTCGATTTTGTAATATTATTTATTTTACATCTTATTTTAAAGGCACATTATGCCTCAGAAATCCATTACATGTATTAAATTCTTTAGAAATGATCAAATTGTGTTAAAAGAATACTGCTTAAATAATAGATTTAAAGCATGTTAGATATTTAACAGCTGAAGAAAATAGAGATGAATGTGCGTTTTTGTGTCGTAATGGTAGCACAATGTAAACAAAGTAGTATTTTGACTTCAAAACAAAATACTAAATCACTATAATTGCACCAATTGCCAACAAAGTAAAAGAAACAAAGAAAGTTGATTTTTACCGCAAATGACTAATTCTTTGGAAACTTTAGCAAAATACCAAAAATTTATAGATTTGTAAAATAAAAATGAGCCTTTCTGAGACATAACGGACCTTTAAATAAAAATTAATCGGTGCATTTCATTTTTTAAGTTTATTTTGTCTCTACATCTTATTTTAAAACTGTCGTGGTAAAATCGTACGTTGTTTACTTCATTGATTGGATAGCTGATAGACAGATAGATAGATATTTATTCAGGTTAAAACACACATACATGTATACATAAAACAACACTTTAGCATTTTATATAAAACTGATGACACAATTGTAATAAAATATTTCGGAAGTTTGTCAGACATAAATATCACAGACGGCTCATTAAATAATAAAATATTATAACTAAAAACAAAATCTAAAACTCTTTCTTTCCTATGACTAGATATCAATTTACTAGTTTAATAAAATGTAAGGACGTAAGTAGAAACATGTATAGAGTAGTGTGCAATAACCTCGGATTGCCCATGAAAGCCCGAAGGCTTATTTCCAATGGGGTTCTTATTAGTTAAAGTGTTAATTAATGCGATTTTAGTCAATTAAACAAAACCATAGTTGTAATAATTGTATAATCAATGTAAGTCATTGCCTTTTGTCTTATTTAAAATAGGGAAACACATTTGATAGATGAATAATATTCACAACATCGTTTTTCTTTCTTCAAAATTTTGCCAACATTGTACACGAATTTAGCATAGCTTTCTCAAAGTAATTTTATACACACAATGTAATATAAACTTTTGTTCTGAAGTTTATATCATGTTAAGTCTCGGTTAAGTTTTAGCTTTTTTAAAGTTTTTATTCAGCGAGAAGATGTGTCCCTATCCGCATGGAAATAGAATATCACACCTTGTTATGCCAGCACATCTTGTTGTGTCAGCATATTTAAGGATTCTCTCCTCGGAACGATTTATTGTTTCTATAAAAAGTATTTTAATTCTCTTAGATGACAACAACGGACAAATAAAAGTAGCAATTTGACTGAGGAAGCAAAATGTGAAGATCTGTTTGTGTGTAAATGATTCAATAATATTTCTATTTTCTCCTTTTTCATCAAGTAGATTTGATTATACAATCTTCATTCGGAATAATTTTATTTGTTAATGAACAGAAGGTTTCTTTTCAAAATTCCATTTTATTTAGTTCCATCCATTGCTTTCTCGTTTAGGGCACACGCAATTTTTTTTATTAACTGGGACCATACGCCGCTTTTCGCGTAAAATTAAAGGTTCCATGATAACCGCCGGCGGATGTTTGATAAAATTCAATATTTTCAATTTTGTCATTTTGGCGTTCCTATGGGGTTCAGTTTTTCTCTGTTTTAAAACAGAAGAAAATACTGAACAAATTCATTGAGTCAAATTGTTAAAAAAATACATAAAGCTATATAATTCTTGTCACGAAGTGAAACATTAACTTGTTCGTAAAAGTAAAACGTTTAATACAAAAAAAACGCACCATACCAGAACAGCAATGATTTTCATTTCAAAGGACCAAAAGTTGTTTATTAACTTGTTTAAATGTCCGGTACTGAATAAAGTAACAATATTGCCAAATGTAGAACATTTTCTAGTATAATTGGGAGATTGTAAAACGTATCTATGGCAACGTTTCATGTTATCACGCGACGTCGACTTATATCTTTATACGGTAATGTAATGTAAACAATGTCTGGATATCAACATACTTAGTATAAACTTACTTTGATCTTCGGAAAAGTCGTAAATAATTGTCTCCTTAATGATATTTATCATCATATTTAGATAGATTCACTCAACATACAAGATAAATTTTATAGCATTTTTTTTTTAATAAACCGTATCTCCTTCATTAAAACGTTACTTTAAATAGAGCTAGCAAATATGCCTTTAAAAACAATTCCATGCTTGAAATAATGAAACTCCAAATGTTTTGATTAAATGATATTTTCAAACAATTATTGGCATATAAGTATTATCAGAATATTTTAAGATACTGCGTGTATTTCTGTCTCCGCTCTTCCTATTTATTCGCCATTACTTTCTGCAGTATTTAAAATGATATTCCGTTACAATGAAAATAAAACATATCTATTCTTATCAATACAAAAACATTAAAACAACTCATTATGGTGAACTTCATAACTTAATTTCAACCTCTTGAATTGCTTAAATTGACATTCCAGATTTCATTTTCTTTTGCACGGTCAATTCTCAACTTAGAGGGTATCTAGATGAACACTTTAACATTAGTCAGCCAACAGTATAAAGCATGTTACATTGTAAACATAACAGATGTGTGGGCTGGCCTGGCTCTATACTGGCTATAATTAGCGAACTAAGGCTAATAACTTTGGTTTTCAGCATGAATGAGTATGGCAAGGGCATGTATCGTTTACAATAAACTAGTTACTTCATCAAAATGTCTGGTTGAGCAAATAATGTGACAAAATTTGATTGCTGTTTCTAGACAATGTTCATATTTCTCTGGCTTTTTCAACCTCTTTTTAAGCTAAAGATGAACAGTTTAAAAAAATGATAATAACAAACGTGTTTTTGATATCGAATTTTCTATAATTTCTTACAGTGAAATGTATTTGAAACTGTTTAATGCAGAATAAAAATACAAATCCATAACTTGCCTTTAACTGACTCTATAGACGGCAAGTTAAAGTGCATGAACAATAAGTGCAACTTATGAATCAATAATGTCAACTGAGTTTTCTTGAGTAGGCAGATACTAGATGGTTTCATGACATTGTTGTTTTTGCTGTTCTCAGATTTTTAATTAGATTTAACACAGAAATGAATAAATCATTTTTTACGTTAAAAAGAAACAATGAAACCTGTTTCAAGAAAATGTCGTTATTGATGTTTTGAGAAGACCGAAAACATGTTTTAGCCATATCAATAGCATTTTGATTTTGATTTGATCATTTGCAAGTGAATGGAATTAAATTAATTAACTTGTTAAGGTTCGAACATGTTATATGTAATATTCTATAAATCAGCAATAGATATGTTGTTGACTGTTGTCATTCTGGGGGAACATTCTGAAACAAGAATGAATGAGTACAATTATTTCAAGTTATAAGAAATTATAGAGATTGACTGCTCAAAAATAAATGTTTATTATTTTATGCTTTTCAGTGGATTACTGATTTATCCGTGAAAAATATATTTGATAATTTCACAGTGAAAATTATCAAAATATAATTTCACACTTTTCAATGACGACACTACTTTTTTATGATTTTTCCCATGTGGTACCTCAATTTTATTTTTGCTAACAATTCTGACAATGTCAGGCTGTTTAAAGAAAACGCAAAGCTGAAATGGATAAATAACTTAAATGTCAAAAGTAATAAAAAGAAGAAAACTTACTTCTATTCATTCAAATTCCAATCACCAAATTTCATCTCTAAATTTTTTGTTTCATTTTTACAGTCTGACAAATACATGCCTTCCACATGCAAACTGCTCTTGATGACATTTGGGCACAGTAAAGTATCCTACGAGCAATAACTGCCGTATGCTTTATGGAAAATTGAAAAGCAATGACAGCTATTAGCTCGTAGAACAAGTAAACCACCCAGCGTTCCGAGCAAGTTCCAAGTTTTCCATTTTCATAGCTGCTTTTTTCATGTTTTCACATCTGTCAACACTTAATTTTTGTCTGTTTCAATCTTCAAATATATGTTTTCTTTCTTTTCAAAAGGTGTATGACTAACAAATCCAAATGATATCCCTCTGAATCAAACACAATTATTTTCCTCCCGTGAAATACACAACTTTAAAAAAATGGATGCCGCTTACATTTAACAAATATAAATACGCAGTTAGTAACAGAAATATGGATGGATGGTTGGAATTTTTCTCCTACAAGAATTGTTTGTTTTTATTATTAAAACAAGCGATCATTCATATTTGTTTAACAAAATAAATAATATCACTGTCATTTAACGTTGATTGTCGGACTTATTTTTCAACTCAAGACTTCTTGCTTTTAATGAGAAATTCCGACTAAATGGGGCTCTCAATGGGGAAAACAGATTTTAATATTTACGTTAATATTATGGAAATTTCGTTTTAACTTGTTTTTTTAGCATAAAATAAAAAGAAAATTTGTTTGTTTGTTGTGAGAATACTGTTTTTAAAGCCCACTCGATGAAATAAAATTTCA